GACACCAATAAGAGAGTTAGGATTCAGAAATTACTTATAAGTTACAATCTTCACTATTTGGGAAACAAGGATAAAGTCCCGTCTCCACCTGTTTACAATATGACCATGGAACTAACCATGCACTTGTAGCCCTTTAGTCTAAAAATGAAAAATAAATAAATACATAAAGAGAGAAAACTAGATATGGTATAAGAACATTTTTGTATAAAAAACAATATATGCCTATTCTAATTTTTTCTGCTTTTTAGAAGGCATAAAATTACATAAAGTCATAATTATTGTCATACATTTTTGGAATATATATATATTCATATACACACACACACACACATATATTACTGGTTTTTTCTCATTTGTGCTATTTTTGTCATATATATACATATATATGTATGTTTATATATATATATGAGAAAAAGCCAGTAAGAGTTATATAGGAGTGAAATTTCAGTATCTCTTTAGAATTAAGCTAGCAATAAATCTCAAATCTATTATAATAAGTTACAATTTATATGTTAAGCCCTAGAACAACTACAAAAACAATTTTTTTTAAACTTAAAGCATCGTTAAAGTAATTTAAGTGTTATCCTAGAAAATATTCACTTAATTCAAATGAATGCAGTAAATGATAGAGAATCAGAAAACACATGGGACCTATTAAAAAATAGTATGGAAGATGTGAATCCAACTATAGCAGTAATATATTTAACGTGAATGAAATCTGTCTGGGCATGGTGGCCCATGCCTATAATCTCAGTGCTTTGGGAGGCTGAGTTGAGAAGATTGCTGGAGGTCAGATGTTCAATACCAGCCTGTGAAACATAGTGAGACCACCCAGGAGGATCTCTCGAGCCCAGGAGTTCAAGACAAGTGAGCTGTGATCATACCACTGCCAGTTTGGGCAGCGGAGTGAAATTGAAAGAGAGAAAGAGAGAGAAACAGGAGACAGACTACAAATAAAACTATGGATGACAGATCTGAGAGAGAGAGAGAGACTACTAAGAAACTTTGCTTTGCCTCTAATCTTTTTCTAAGTACATGATGAAGCCCCAAGCCTTTCCAAACTAACCAACTAGTTTACACATCTCCTTGAAGAATTTGTTAAAATGTTAGCTGATTTCTTCCCACATGCTTTTATGTAGGCCACTTCTTTCTCCTGTGCTATGCCAAGGGTGAAATAGTTCCTTGTTCCTCTCGGAAATTAGATTACTTGGTGATTTTTAAGCCACACCTGTCTTATAGGCTTAAGTTACATGATTTTATAGATATTCCAGCTTTTTCACTTTACTAAAAGTAGAGGCATATGATTTTCAGTTTTTACTTTCTAAGATTTTTTTCAGTAGTTTTAGTTTTCAATTTTATGTGGAGAATCCGCAGATGGTACAGATGTCAATTTGATTTCATCTTTAAAGTACTATTTGTAAATATTTGTTTAAATGTATATGCTTATTTATTTGCACATCTCCTTGAAGAATTTGTTTACATACATGTTACTTGGTAAGTGATTGAATTTTTTTCTCAGTTTATTACAATGAATTCAGAATATTTTCTATACTATTTTTCTTTATTGAATTTGTGTTTGTAACTTATTTTAAATATGCATTCAACATTTTTAAAAAACATCAGGGGAGTGTTTTTAATAAAGACATTAGTACATTATTACATTATTCAGAGACTGTATATAATTACACATCCTGATTACTCGATCTAACAGAGTCTTCAGAGTTAAGACCCACTACTATTGTGTTTGTTTTAAATTTCTTCTTTCATCTCTGTAGTTTATTTTTGTATATTTGAACATTAGAGGAGATGTGAGATTCTGTGATCCATAATCACTGTATAAACTTACAGGAGGGTCTTATATTGTAATATACTTTAATTAAATCAATATTATGGCTCTAGATTTAACAAGCATTCCAAAAATTCTAATGGAATATGTTTGAATATTAAAACTTCATTTTCCAATTATCATAGAGATATTTCCATTTTTAATGTGCCCAAATTAAAACACATATACACAGATGAGAACCCTTCAAGATGTTTAATTATTGTAAAATGGAAAACTGCATGTCATATTGCAGATTTGCACAAAAATAGACAAAATAAAATGATGTGGTTTTCCATCAGCAATTAGTTTTTTTAAATGATATAAAATTAACATGCTGTTTGTTAGCATCTTAATTTAATTGATATGTTCACTTTTGATGAACTTATAACAATGATTACCCTAGAAGACAAAGTTTCAAAATGTTTCTTGACTTAGAGAAAATGATTAATTATACTTTACTCACAAGATCAAATGTTGATTTTTTGCTCTTCTTTGCTAATAGTTCTGAACAAAGGTCAGAAACTGGATTAAGAGCAAAATTGGCTTAAAAGTAGGTGGATGAGCAGAGTCATAGTAGAGTAATTCAATGTTTAACCACTTTCTAAGAGCTGTATGTTTTCACCTATTTGCCCTGATTATCATGAGATATTTTGCTTGAACCTGGTAATTTTGAACAAACTTATGAATCCAGGTGTAAAGTAATTTTGTACTTTTTATGGAAATGCAAAATAATCTATACCCTTGAACAATATGGACATTTTTCCAATTGAAACAACAATATAGTATTTTGCCATCAAGGTGATTTTGATTATTCTTTTTTAAAGTGGGGAAATGTGTATTGAAGACCGTCTTTCATTCATTTATCAACATCAGATCATAATCTTTGGTAGTTTGGTGTGATTTTTCTCAATTTCAGTCAAATTATGCTAGATCAAAATTTGATTATGAACTTGAATATAAGCCCCAAAATACTGAGAATTTTATTATTATGAACTATAAAAGAAAAACTGTTCAAACTACTTCACTAACTGTAGCTGTAAATTACAGTAAAATAGCTGTGCAGTACCCATTAAATACCACAGAGACAGGTTTATTTTGCTGCTGAATATTACTGAAAAACTAAGTGCTTTTCATTTACTAACAGAACTATGTAATTTACTAAATTCAAACAAACAACAAACTATTCTCAGACACTTAAGACTTAGTCTTCAGAAAGTTAGGCAAAATTACCATAGTTTAAGACAGCAGGTGAAAACTTCTACAGCATGACTTTAAGAACATATTTCTGCCACTGAAGTTTCTAAGGAAAGGTAAGGTAAATTATATTAGAGGGTAGTTGGAAGAAAGTAAAAATAGACTTTTGGGGAGTCTATTATTTTGTTTCCTTTGTCCATTGTTAAAGAAACATGCTAAATGATAGACATACGAATAGGTTATATTAGTAGTGGCCCCTTTTGATTTTTTAAGATTGTAACATTGGGTTGCACATTTGCATCTTATTTTATTGGTTTCTTTGAATTTTTTCACTTTAATTTTTTAAAATTTTGGCACTAAATTTTTCCTCACTTTAAAAATTTATATATTAACGATATGATTAAATATATTATTTTGTCATGTTAAACCTTAATTAATGAATAAAAATCAATTGAATTAATTTATTTTGTAAAATAAAACTTTAAAAAACTTTTTAGAGTGGAATTATTTGCTGTGCATGATGACACTTCTCCAGAAGTATATTCATTTCTCTGTATGTCCATTTAGTTGGTCTTTTATCTAGACCCTTATTCTCTCACCTAAATCTTGTTCTCCTTCCTGGTTTCCTTATTTCTATCAGCAGTGTCATCTTTGAATCCTACCACATTTGTCTCTTTTATGATTTATATTTATGCAGCTGCCATTTCAGGGCTTTTCAGGATGTGCAATTACAAGTTTTTCCTTTTTCTTCATTTAAACTAAGCCATTAAAAAAACAATAAATTTAAAAAATGTTTTCACTTCCATTTCTCTTTTTAAAAATTGTCAGGTCTCTACTGTCTGGATTATGTCCAAATTTTTAAAACTAGCTTCAATCTTCACCTCTTTCCCTCAAAAACTGATAATAAGCTACTTTCTAGTCTTGTCTATATGAGTGAACTATTGAAAATGAGTCATTTACTTCTTCCGGCGGGTTTTGCACAGTGCCCTCCCACATCCTGCTTCATTCTTGCTTACCCACCCAAGTTCTTCATTGCTATTCTGTTTTCTTTTGCCTATTGACAACCTAATCTTGGTTATTGTAATAATTTTAAGTAGTTTGCTCATTTTATCCTAGTTTTTCTTCACTTTCACTTTTTACATGATTGCTGAGATGATTATCTTGCAACACACTTGAATTAGGGTGTACATAGCATCATGCCGATGTGCTGTGTGCTACCTTATTCTATCTTTTATCGTATCTTTGAAAAGTTATCTACTTCAGAATTAATTGTAACATAAATAATGTATTTGCTTTTTAAAGTTTACAAATGTCAGTATTTTAACAATTAAAATGTTTTTAAAAAGTGGTCAACAATGTAACATGTCCTTTTGAGTAACCTTTTGATATTCCATTCTCATATTAATTCCTTTAACACACAAAAACACATTCTAAAAAATAGACATACAAAAGATATATACCAGCCGGACTCGGTGACTCAGCCTATAATCCTAGCGCTTTGGAAGGCCGGGGCGAGTGGATTGCCTGAGCCCACAGGTTTGAGACTAGCCCAGGCAACTTGGTGAGACCACGTCTCTACCAAAATAGTCAAAAATTAGCCGGGCGTGATAACACATGCCTATAGTTCCTGCTACTTGAAAGCCTGAGGCAGAAGGATCACTGGAGCCCAGTAGGTCGATACTGAGGTAGCCGTGAGTGTGCCACTGCCCTCCAGCCTGAGACTCCAACTCAAAAAAAAAAAAGGATATATACCATGCTGTAAACATTGCATAATTAGGGATATAGCAATTCAATCTTGTAAAAAAAAAAGATAAACTAATATTGTTTTTCTTTTCTTAATTGATCTTACTTTCCATCTTGTCTACCTTCAATCCATTTCATCACTTTCAACATGATGCAGGGCACCAGACTATATCTGAAGCCTTGGGAGAAATGTTAAAAAATGATATGCACATTAAATCATTCACTGAACTCTCAAGGGTTAAAATGTAAGAGGTTTATTCTCCATTTATCAAGCAGTGTCTACAGACAGAGCATACACATGGTGTAAACGATCCAAGAAGGATGTATGGGACAGACTTACATTAAATCATTAAGTCACAGATACTTTATATGGTTCATGTTCACAAGGGATAAAATTGCTAAAAAGTAAAGCAGGTTCATTAAGTAGAAACATAAGCTGTAGTTTATTAAATCTACCTTGTATAATGTTTCCTTAAGCTAAGAAGAAATCTACTGTATCACACAGATCAGGATGCTATATACACATAAGATATTACACACTATAAAATTTTCAGTTTCTAAGCAGTTTTACACAGTTTAAACTTGAGTAAACTTTGTATTTAAAAAAGACCTTATTGGATTGCCTTCAGTAAATGGAGGTCATTTCAACAGCCCATTAGCATTCTTTTAGCAACAATAAAAACAAAAAGTAAAAAGATTCCCAGAATATGTAAGCTATTACTTTAAGCCTGTATAGTTATTTGCTTATTTCAATCTATTTCTACTGTCTTTCTCTTTTCCTCTTAAGAGAAAAGTAATTTTTACATCTCTGCACTGTCTCAAGTAAGAGGATTAGTTAGGTTTCAAACTATAGCCTGTAGCGAGAAGGTGGTTTTAGGATTATGTAGGAGTTGAATAGAGAAGTCATTAAGGAAAATTACTATGAATAAAGTTTTTGAAAGGTTATATTTAAATAGCAAAAACAATGGAGAAGCGCATTTTTTACTCACCACTGTAAGGTTATTCTTTTATTCCCTAATTATCCTAGGCCACTATATCACATGAGTTTTCTTGCCAGTTTTTTATTTTTCTTTCTCAGAAGTTAATTTCTCTATATGTGGTTTACTTTAGCAGACAAAAGTAATGCTTCTTGTTTAGGACGAAAAGTTCCTATTGATGCAACACTGGGCTATGTCAAAAGAAATAATTTATTCTGCTAATAATAAAGTGAACATTTGTAAGTAGTTGACATCCCAGACAAACTTGCATTAAAAATATAATGCACTCTAGTGATTGAAGCAAAATTAGTAGATACATTGCAAACATTTTCAGCGTAATTATTTTTCTTCCCTTCCTATCAATTTCTATTGCATGCTACAGATTATACAGTAAATGTCAAATTGTGTTTGACACCTGTATACATCCTAAGGCCAACCTATGCCTTCCAGTGATATTTCATTGAGGGTTAAACAAATGACTGAAGGAAAGATTTGGAGCAATAGATGTTAAATATTTTTTAATGACAAGAGATGTATAGTTATGAGGGTATTCAGTATGCAGCTTTTAGCCTTCTTTTCCTCCTGTGGCATTCCCTTCAAGGCACAAAAGATTATAAACAGTGGACAGCACAGAATATTTCAAACTAAGAATTTTAAGGTTCCACACCACCTTTTATTTCTGGTGTAATCATACTAACAGGACAGAAAAAAACAATAAATCAATTACCCTCAAAATGAAATGATGCTTTAGTCATCTCAAATTCCCTGCAGTTTTGTTATTTTTTAAGAATTTAAAGTCCTGTTTTATTGTTTTAAAACATAATTGTATATTTGATTCTTATGACTGATATAATTTCTCATTAAATATTGTTATATATTTTTAATTGATCAATATTATTAATTGTATATGTCTTGGCCAAAAACAACCTATTTTATTTGGGACAACCAGGTAAATTATGTTTGACTAGGATATAAAGTTGAAAAGTTAAACTGTAAATTTAAACAATGGATAAATTCAATGTACTTTAAAACTCTTCATTCAATAATTATAGAATAGTGATCCTAGGCATCTCCAACCCAAATGACTGTATTTCCTTTCTCAACTTCAGTGATCTCACAGTTTAACTTGTTGAGTCGTCCGTCTAGTATAAAGAGAGAGTCCTTGGAAGGTGTCATCAGGTATTGACCAAACAAGCCACTGTCCTGGATTTGCCTGTTCTTCCGATTCCAAGGCCATTCATCTGCCTTGAGTGGTTCCTTAAGGCTCTTTATCATCTTGACCTTCCCAGAGGAGAGCTCCACAAAGAGCACATCAGTTTGTGTGCTTGAACTACCATAGATGTTGTATTGGTGGGCTTCAGTAAAGGACGGCTGAAATGCCAGATCAGATATGTGCAGATTTGTGTGAATATCAAAAGCCTCCTGTATTTCTCCTCTGATGGTAATGTACTGAACTCTAACAAGACCTTTCACGTCATTGATGCTGACAAGGTAGTGGCCATCTGGAGAGACATATGGAGTGCCCGTCACATCACTATTGAACCCAATGACTGAGTCGGTTACACTGTCCAGCACAATCTGTGGGGGAATTGCTCCAGTGCTGTCAGGTTTGCAGCCAATGAAGTAGTAACCTCCCAAGTGTGTATATGCCAACGACTGAGGAACACACTTATAGTCTTTCAAGTTAATTGTCTTGATGTATGACATGGTTTCAAGATCAATTTTTTGTAGTGCAGCTTCATCTTTATGAAGAATAAATCCGAACCTGAAACGATGAAAACTAAAGTTAGACAGGAAGTGATAAAGTTTTTACTGTAAGAAAATGTGTTATGAACAGGTGGAAAGATCTGTCACAAGCCCAAGTACTGTCAGGCGAGGCAACAATTTGTGTCACAATCGTGTTAGAATTAATCCTTCGGTTGTGCTGCTCTCCTCCTTTCTCTAGGTCATAATTACATCCAAATAATTATAACTCATTCTAGAGAAATCAAAATAATTAAAAGCAACAAATGTAATCGGAGCAACAAATTTTGCTTTTAAAAGAGGGGGGGAAGTAAACATTATAGGTCTTTAAACCTTCTAATATTAAACAAACATGGTTAACTATTATCAAAGCCAGCAAGAGTAAAATCCTCGAATCTATACCTATTTCATCAATTTATTTACTTCTCCTATTATCTTTGGACCATTAAGTAAATTTGATACTCATCACTATTTAGATAATTTTCCACATTGTTCTTGCTTTAATTTACATCAAAGGATTAGATGTAAGTGGTAGATAAAAGTGTTTTGTTTTTTTTGGTATAGAATGATTAGAGTTTCATTTATTACATTTTAGGATCAGTTTGTTTTTCCACTTTTATAATTTAAATAATTTTTAAAGTTAAACAAAATTTAAATACAAGTTAAATTTTTCATTCTTGCCATGCCTGTGTTGTTACTGTTTTTAATAATATGCTTTCACTGAGTTGATTATCCTGTATTAAATGATGAAGAACTTTGGAGATTTATTGTTTTTCTATTAAAGTCAATTAAAATTTGTTTTGTTTTATTCTTAAATTAGTTCAGAGCTTTTCCAAACATTTGTTCTTGATATTGGCTGAAAATTATCAGAAGTATCTGTGGTAAGTATAAATATATTTTGAAATAACCAGCTGGGCTCAGTGGCTCAGCCTGTAATCCTGTGCTTTGGGAGGCTAAGGTGAGTGGATTGCCTGAGCCCGCGGGTTCGAGACCCGCCTGAATAACTTAGCGAGACCTCATCTCTACAATAAATCAAAAAATCAGCTGGGCATGGTAGCGTATGCCTGTAATTCTGGCTACTCGGAAGGTTGAGTGGAAAGGATCACTGGAGTCCAGCAAGTTGAGGCTGTAGTGGCCGGAGGCGGCCACTGCACTCCAGTCTGGGCGACAGTGAGACTCCAGCTCAAAAAAAAAAAAAAAAAGAAAAGAAATGCCCATAACACAAGCACCATCCTAGCAAAAAATAAGTTGAATAAGAGACACAAGAGAGAAAATGTTAGAAAAATTATATCCAAAGTAGATATTGACCAATGAAATTCTGAAGGACTTTTATTTTTGTTTACATTAATAATATTTATTAAATCACTTTCTAATAGTTCTAAAGATTCATGGAAATAAGAATCAGAAAAAATATTTTCCCATTGAATGTGCTTATAAAAAAAAATTAAGATGACCTTATGGTGAGTTTTAAGATATAGCAAAACAAAACAACACAAAGAAAAACAGTAAAGATAACGAAGGTTTTTTGTTTGTTTGTTTTTTGAGTCGGAGTCTCACTCTGTCGCCCAGACTGGAGTGCAGTGGCCACTCTCGGCCACCGCAGGCTCGACCTGCTGGGCTCCAGTGATCCTTCCGCTTCAGCCTTCCGAGTAGCCGGAATTACAGGCATGCGCTACCACGCCCAGCTGATTTTTTGATTTATTGTAGAGATGAGGTCTCGCCTGCCCAGGCGGGTCTCGAACCCGCAGGCTCAGGCAATCCACTCACCTCAGCCTCCCAAAGGCACGGGATTACAGGCTGAGCAACCGAGCCCGGCTGATAACCAAGTTTTTAATCATCTGTGTAATTAATTTTCTGTATGCTTATTATCACAAATTCTTATTTATGAAAAAAAATTTCCACACATAATACAAAATATGGTGCATTCAAGCTAAAATCTTCTTAAAATTTCAAATATAAACATTTGGGAAATTCAAAATTATAAACAAACCCATATTTAATATCAGAAAAAATGAAATAAATGTTGAAAATATTAATCCTGTGTTGTAATTGTGGAAAGTAGGGACTGCCTGAGCACAGTAACTTCACTAAAATGGACTTAAAATTATAACTGTTTCCATTTTTCTTATATTACTATATAGTTAGAAAATCATATTATAACTTTAACATTTGTTATAAGAGTATTTGTTGTCACTGAAAAGAGTACAGAATTTTTTAAATGAAAGAAAAATTGCAATGTACAGTTACTTCTTTAAAAAGCTTTCCTAAATATTTATTAAACAACTACTAAATACAAGACACTGAGAATACACTGGAAATCATCTTGATTCTCACTGTCTCCAATAAGTCTAGAAATTTTGAGTGATTAAAAAATGAAACAAGCTATTAGTGAATAATGCTTGATAGTTTTCATATGTATTACTCTTCATCATTTCATTTACCTGCATGGAACAAGCAATAGTCAGTAAATTAGGTAATAGTACAGTAGAATGCTGCAATCAGGCATTACCTAAATATTATTAAATTATTAACTAATTATTAAATTATTACCTAATTTAGTGACTATTGCTTGTCCCATGTAGGTAAATGAAATGTCTAAAAGTAATACATTTGAAAACTATATTTCTAGTGTATTTCTGAATAATGTCCACTATTTCTGATTTATTTCTTAGCTCTTTATGTTTTCTGTGTCCTCAGTACTTGTGTTTGTGTCCTTCCAGTAAGCACAGGAAGGACAAACCATACCTATTCAGGACAAATTTTTAGTCTCAATTATCATGGTATAAGAAACATTCATGTGATTGATAATCACTTGTAAATAGTTTCATTAAAATATTAATTCCTGATGCAGAAACATACATAGGTTTTAAACCCTATCTGAATACTAAATAATTTTTTAAATCCTCAAACTTCCAACTGCATCCTATCACTTGTGTCTCAGCATCAAAAAATCATAAAATCATATATATCACTATCCACATTCAGATTTATCTTAGTAAATAATGAATTTACTTACTATAAAGAAATAATGTTTTACTGATGGACAATGATTAAGGATATGTAAGTATATGGGTGTATTAGTATTATTTTTGAAGTTATGAATTATGATAAAAATATCTTTTGTTATAAATTGCACATAAGCTCAGAGAAAAAGCAATAAAAGATTTATTGAATAAAGGCAATACACCAATAAAGTCTGGCATTTCAGCTTTCCTCTTAACCTTCAGTCTTCTAGTCCCTTTGGGCTAGATTTTTGTATACTAATGAGGAGGAATGAGATAAGCTCTCTCTACTCCTCAACTATTTTAACTCTGATACTACAGAATGTACTCAAGTTTTCTGTGATACAATCCAGCCTCTTCTGAAGGTAATTACAAATGTTTAAAAAATGGTCCAGTTAAAAATGCAGAAGCTCCGTGTGGAGTGATAAAATCACATCTATTTTGGCATCTACACTGGAAGCTCCTTGAGGACTAGAGATCTAGCGATATGCGCAGATGCATGAGAATGCCTTCAATTTTTCACCACTGATTTATTGATTAAGAAGTGGTGTCTCTAATTCAAAATTTCCCCCAGTACAGATTGATACTCAGAAGTCTCCCACTGTTAATTAGTCTCTGATTAATTTTTACGAGGCTCTCAACTTTTATGCCTGCTTAGTATAATAAAATCTTGCATAGTACTAGGTTTAACACAGTTTGTCTAGTATTTGTCAGAATGTATATGGGAAGTTGCAGACTGAGAAATGAGAGAATTGAAACTTACTCTCAAAATCACTTATTTTTCTAAGAAATTAATGCCATTAGAAAAGTGTGGGCTCTCAGCATGGAATTGTGTGAATCTGTCAGCTTTGGTGAAGAGAATTATAGTGAATGTCTTCTTTCTAAATTATTTTGTTTTTCCAGATGTTTAATCAACGTAGTTCATTGCAAAGATTACAAAAAGGTTACACTTTAATTACTGCTTTTACTACTAAGCTAAGGTCCTGAAATGATTCATATGCAAAGACCTGTTGTTTTGGACAGAGAAAGGGCTTTCATTCTCAACTGACCTTTCATGATCCAGTTTTTCAAAATAATACATCTTATGTAAATGTGACCTTATATAATGCCCTTGACTTCCATGAGTTTCAATCTCCTAATCAGCAGGAAGAGAATAAAAGCTATGAGGAGGAAAGTAAACGTATGCATGAACCATGCATGTTGCAGGTTCTCAATAAATAGATATTGCCAGTCTTTTATACCCTAAGTAGCATTGTTTTTCCATGTGAACAACATAAAATGTTTTCCATGGGATAACATTATTCAAGCTCATGGATGAGGAAAAAACAAAACAAAACAAAAAAACACATCTTTTTCTGTGTAGCTAGTATTCCCATAATGTTAAAAACAAACATATAGTGTTACCTTAAGGGTGGCTATATTTTTTCATTCATGTATATGAGAGAGATCACAGTGACAATACAACTACATGTTTTAACACTTTTATACTCTCATTGGTACCAACAAGACATGGACCTAGTTTACATATTACCAGTGACTAAATCTCTCACATTGTTAAAAATAAGTACAGTGTAGCTCTCTTAGCTTTCTTCACCTTCTCCAGAGTTGCTGCTTCAGTACTTGCTGAGGACATGGAGCAGTAGTCCATGTTGTGTTGGGGAGACCTGGTCTCTGAACAGGTGGTGGGATTTGAATTAGATACCTGACTTATTCAATAATTTTTGTTAAAAGTCACAGAAAATGTTGTGGCTAACTTTAGGACCTAGATATCTTAGGACATGAATAGTTGCAGTCAGTTTCTTTGCCATGGCAATTTAGGAGCTTTTCGAAGGAAGTTATTTGGCAGAAAGAGAAAGAGATGCATAGTCAAAACACCATGAAGCCTGATAAAGGGTAAGTACTAGAAGGTCTCCACATGCTCCAAGGCCAGACTGAATTTCTTGCAATTGAGCAAGGTGTGCAAAGAGTGTTTCCCCCATGTCCCCTCACTCAAAGGGACCTGAATGACTGTGGTCTCTGT